GAGACTAATTCTCCTCACAGTGGTTGTTAATTGGTTGTAGTTCTTTGTCTAGGGGTGGAGCTCAGTGAGATTAGCCCCTTCCATGATACAATGTCCGTTGATGTTGTTCCTGTTTGGGTCCTGTTTAGGCAGCCATATTGTTGAGGTCTACTGGGTGTGACTTCCCTGTCAGTTCTAGGATACAACATCTCAAGACAAGCTTCCTGGTCTTCCAACTTTTATAATCTTTCCACTTCGTTGCAGGTTATTTGATCATACTGTGAACCCTGAGATTGTGTTATTTACTGGAAAAAAAACGTTTCTAGTTGTGGTGTAGCTCAGTCTTAGCACACACCTTTAATCCAACAGTTTTCTGCTTGAATATTGCAAGCAGGATTAAATAAAGTCAACCAAAGGTCAAGAGGCAGAACAAGCAAGCAGATGACAGGAAAAACCATAGAGTAAGAGGGAGTCAAGAGGATGGATAGAGAGACGCACCTGGAATAAAATGGAGGGACATTTAGTTTGAGGAGTTTTCTTTGAGATGGTGTAAGAGAAACATTTTTGGGGGACATCGACTGAGGAGGAAGGTCAACTGGGTGCTTTCTCTGCCTCTCTGAGCTAGCAGGCTTTCACCCCAATATCTGGCTTCCGAGTCTTTATTGGTAAAATCGAATGATTGGGATTTTGTTACAAACAACACGTTTTCTTCTGTGATGTTCCCTGAGCCTTAAGTGCAAGAGCTGTGTTCACCAAGTCTGGATACCCCACACGGTCTTTGTATTTCACAGTTATGGTGTTTTGTGATGGTCTCATGGTCTCTGTCTTCTGCAAGAGAAGCTTCTTTGTGAGAGGTGAGAGGTAAGGAAAAGTATTTCCCTTCCATCCTCCTCAATTCCATGGAAAGTAAAAGGGAGATAGAGATTCTTGTTAGAAATAGTTTTGCCTTGTCTCTACAAAACAAATCTTGAGTTGAAGAAACACGGTTATCTATGGTGATCTATGAAGTTGTAGTTTATGAACTTTCAATATCTAGTTATGTTGACAAGTCAAATATCCAGTTTCTGTCTTTTGAGAAAAATGTGTATTTTCCCTTCTAGATCAGTCAGAGTCTCTTCTTGATGCTTCATTTGTTAAAATGTTCCGAGCCTGTGAGCCCTAGTTTGTTATTCTGCTATTCTTACGTATGATGTTCTTGTTTTGTTTTGTTTTGTTTTGTTTTAAGCTGGGTGACATTATTTAGTCTTGAGGGCTTCAAACTTGATATCCTCCAGCCTCAGCCTTCTGAGCACTGATATAAAGGCTATGTGACACCATGTAAGGTTATATTAATTTTTTTGAAAAGTTATCTTAGTAACTAGATCCTGATCTCCCACACTGCACAAAAGTCATTTCAAAATGGAAGGTTCTGTGCACACTACTGAGGGAGAGGAGTCATCATCAGTCTTATCCAGATGTGAGCCCTGGGAAGATATGCCCAGTGGTGCAACAGAGCATGAATGCTATGGGGGTAACCAACCACTTTCTGAATGGATTTAAAGCCTCCTCCACAAGCTAGAACACGTGACTGGTAGTGTTAACAGGGTCCCAAATCCATGGCTGGTTAAGTCATAGGCCGTGGGTGGAAATCCTGGCACTGTTATTCTGCTAAAAGGACATAATAATAAGCTGCGTCCTAAGATCTTACCTTTGTATCCATAGATTAGTGCAACTTTCAACCTTCATCAGAGACACTTCTTTTTATAGTAGATGGTGATACTAGAGACCCTCAATGGTCAACATGCAGAGAATAAGAAACTGTGGCGCACTCAGCTCTAAATGGGACGTCTGTATCTCTCATCATCTTCCTCCAAGGCCCATGGATCATCACAGAAGAGGAGGCAGAAAGATGGCAAGAGACAGAGGGAATGACGTTCGTAGTCAGACGTAACAGTCCAGTTGTTCACATGTGACTTGATCCTCTAAAATAGCTGATAAATTTGTATTACATTTCTCTTCAAACACCTTATGAAGCTCATAATTTCTTCTTTGTGTGTGTGTAACATAAAATCTATAATTTCTTTAGAAATTTTCAGCTCCCTGTTTAAAAAAAAAAAACAAATTTGAAAATAGGAATGAGTTTGTATGGACCCCAGCCACCTTATAAGATAGGCAGTTCGAAAAGGATCCTAAGTAGATTTTACATGTAACTCCCACAGAAAGGTGATTTCCCTCTTCCTTCCTTGCAAGTACATCGGTTTGCTGCTTTTCTATAAGCTTTTTCTTGAGATTCAGTTGTTTTCGTTTGCTAAAGTGTGTGTGGGTGTTTTGCTTGCATGTATGACTTGTGTATCATGTATGTGTGGTGCCTTCAGTGGTCAGAAGAGGGCAGCAGATCTCCTGAAACAAATTACAGAGGGTTGTTAGCTACCATGCTGGCTCTAGGAATGGAAGCTGGGTCCTCTGGAAAAGCAGTCCACGCTCTTAACTACTGATCTGTCTTTCCAGTCCCTGCATTTTATTTATCTTGCCATCCTTCCTAGAGTCATTCTAAAGCAAAATAAATAGATAAACAAAAAATAAATTAAAGAGGTTAAGAAAAGATGATCATTTTCTAGTTACGTTAATTCTGCAAGGACTGGGTAGAGTTATGCAGTGCTTCAAGATTTTATGGAATGCATGAAAATCGCAAATGTCATCATATGCTCTTGGTGGAAGGACCACGAAGCAGTAGCTTTATGGAAGGCACAGCTTACTGGAGACAATTTCAGAAGCACTGTAGTGGGGGTGGGAAGCACTTGCGGATTTCAAGATAGGAACATGGCTCTTTCTCAAACAAAGAAGTGACATTGATGCCTTTGTAGAGAAGAAAAGAACACTTACCACCGGAGAAAAAGCAAGCAAAAGCTGTAGTGGAGAGGACTTACCTAGGGCAGAAGGCATGGCTGTGAGGGGCCCGGGACCGATCTTACAGCTGATACGGAAAAGGCGGTACAGGAGTGAAGCCAAGGTCGCTTTCTTAGCACTGTCTTGTTTGTGTGGCACAGCCTTGCCTCTTCTCAGCCACTCTGCGAAACTGTGAGGCGGGTGCTGTTCTACAGATGAGGACATTTTGTTGGAGGGAAGGAGCTCCAGGTCAGTTGTTTAATCTCTGACTCCCGGGGTTGTGTTTAGTGCACTTAAAACAGTGTGTTGTGAAAGGAACACCAAGACAGGGTTTCTGCTCACTTCCTGCAACCTGTTCAACTTCAGTTTTCACAAAACCATTATTTTATATCATCAATAAACGCGTGTATTTACTTATTTTTGTGTTTATGGCATACACATGTACATGTGCATAGTGTCCTCCTCTAGGGCTCCGTGCCGTATTCTCTTAAGATGACACCTCTCATCGAACCCAGAACTTGGCATCTTTTCAACGACGCTGGTGGCCAGCAACCCCTAGTGGGATCCCCCTGTCTCCACCACCGCCCTCCTCCAGCACTGAGGTTCAGATGTCCACTGCCATGGCATTTGACATGTGGTGCTGAGGATCTGAACTCAACTCCTTGTGACCATCTCCCCAGCCTCTCCATAAATCTTTTTAAATTTAACCCTGGATTTCCTGGTGGGGGGAACCCGTGGCCTGTTCTTGGTCCTGAGATGGTGCCTGGGACACCGGTGAGGCTTGTGTATGTGCGATTTCTGTCTGAAAGGTCAATCTTCTTACACATTTCTACTGTGAAATCAAGCGTATTTAGTTTACAGTTATTGTTGTGTTGGTTTTAGTTTACTAAAAAACGTATATAGCCTAAGATCCAGGGGAGATGGGACTCACCTATAATCCTAGCACTCAGGAGGTGGAGACAGGAGTATCATCATTTAAACCAGCTTGGCCTTCATTCTGAGCATAGAGAGGCCCTGTGCCAAAAAACCAAACTCCCAACCTGACCAACCAAACCAAATTGAAACAATAACTCCCCAAACATCAACATAAACTGCCGACCCAAATTCAACGATTACAAAAGTGGATGCTACATTTAAAAGTGTTATGAAGTGCCAAATCACATTTTAATTTTAACTCATGAATGAGATAATTTTGAATCAGCTTTTCCAAGGACATACGAACTTACTTTTCTTTTTTATTTTTATTTTACTTGGAGACTGTTGTTTTTCTCTTTTTTTCCAGTTTTTTTTTTAATTTTATAATTAATTTAATTTTACCTATCAGCGACGGATTCCCCTGTCCACGGACTTACTTTTCTATTTACTTAACAGAGATGCCCAGGTATATCCCACACTAGCCTGATGGCTATTCCTGTAAATGGCGGAGAAGCTTCCACCACAGCGTTTCCCCCATGCTCCTCTCTCTGAAACCCCTGGTTCCACCTCTAAACACCAACAAAGTGTTTATGGCTTCAGCAAATAAGTTGTGGAGGAAGGCAAATATCCATTCTTTAACAGTCCTGTAGGTGGAGCCAGAGATCACAATGGTGTCTTTGTCAGGAAACCTTTGCCTTTGCCATAACAAGCCTATTTTCTCCAACCTGGGGAGACCTTGAGATCTGATCAACAGCCTCACTGGCCTCTTCCTCAGTTCTAAAGCAACGTCTTTCGTGTCTTCACATGCACAATGTGCACAAAGTGTAGGTTAAAAGTGTTTCTCATTGCCATCCTGGACAATCTCATTGAACTCACAGAGCTTTCTAAGCCGCATTTTACCTCAAACATACACCAACTTTGAAAATGTAATACATGACAAACAAAAAACACATTGAGAAATCTTACATGACACAGTGCTGGAAGTTTCTACTGACTGTTCTGGAGTTGATTTCTCAATTTCCCTTTCCTCTTTGCCCATCTGCTGGAGTACCTTAGAGGAAACCCCATTTTTGAAGATTTCTCCCCAGTTAACTCTCTTATACTGAACACTTACTGATCTTACTGCAGTAGGTCAGATGTATTGATGTGAAGTTTTAAATGTTTCTGAACATTTACCTGTGACAGAAATAGACACCCAGGGGGAGAAGTAGAAGAGGAGCTTGAACCTTCTGATACACATAATGTGGCTAGAAGAACCTCAAAGGAAATGTGAGTCTCTCTCTCTCTCTCTCTCTCTCTCTCTCTCTCTCTCTCTCTCTCTCTCTCTCTCTCTCCTCATTCCTTCCTTTCCTCTCTCCTCTTCCTTCTCTTCCTCCTCCTCCTCCTCCTTCAAGACAAAGTACAGGTTAGCCTTGAATTTTCTGTGTAGCCCAGGTTGGCCTCCAACTAGATCTTCTTGCTTCCATCTTCTGAGGGCTGAGACGACAGGCGACGTGCTATCACGCCCAGCCCTTTTCACATTTAGCAGGTGGAAGTACTGATGACCATGACTTTAAAATGTGAATTAACGCAGTGCCAAGATGGCGGGGATGGCAGCCAAATGAGAAAGGACGCAGCTCGGTCCTAATACTTTGCGTAACAGACACTAGAATCAGACGGAACGAAGAGAAGAGATAAAGTATACAAAAAAGAAATGGGATAAAAAGAAAAGGAGAATTAATTAAATACTTTGGAAGATTACTTCAAAGGGAAGGGAGAGCTATAGAAAACACACAGACATAGGCTCATGATATGCCAGAGAATCTATCTGCTTTCCTGTTTAAATTAAGGGATACTACTGGATTTGCATAGTGAGACTGTTAAATAATACTCTATTATATTACATTATATGATAAGTAAGATACAGATGCATCTTCTGGATATGGCATGGCCATTGCAACCATGAACTCACAGCAGCTTGGCAACCTGCACACCATCAGTCAACATGCCGATAGGCAGCCCTCGGTGGACTCCGTGGATCACAAAATCAACAACAGCAAAAAAGCAGAGAATGTGAAAGGGCAAGTGGGAACATGCTGGAGATGCCTGGGGATGGGAGTGGGGGTGAGATGGGAGACTTAAGGATGCATATGATCGAGCTACATTGCTTAGATGTATAAAATTATCAAAGAGTAAATAAAAGATGTTCTAGTAATAAGAAGAAATATGTGGCAAAAATGTTAAAATATGTTTAATATTCGAGTCTTGCTGAAAATCTCATCAGTCTGCTATAGGACCACACTGTACTGCAGGCCTGAAAAACATTGTTTTGCTTTGTTTGCTTATTTTTGTTTTTTGTTTTGTACTGGGGACTAGAAGCAGTGTCTACCACATGCTAGGGAAGTAAGCGCTCCACCCTTGAGGTACACCCCCAGCCCTTTCTTTACTCTCTACTTTTAATTTCCACATGGAAACTCATTGTGTTTCATGGGCTAGCCTTGAACTCCCTCTGTAGCCCAGGCAGGCCTTGAATTTAGTCCTTCCCTCACCTCCTGAAGAGCTGGGATTACATTCCTGTTATATGAGGCCTGGCAGAGAAAAAAAAATACTGCTAAGAATATCCCTTTATATAAATAAATGCAGTTTATTTCTGTGACGTAGAGTTCTAGATTGAAGTTGGTACAGCAAACACAATGCATTTACAAACGGATAAATGCTCGGCCATCGAGGTGGCTTGGTACTTGACAGCACTTACCATCAAGCCCGAGGACCCACACTGGAGGGAGAGAGCCAACACCCACACGTTGTCTTCTGATTTCCACACGTGCACCCTGGCACATGCACACACACAAATAAATGAATAAATGAAATCAAAAGCTAAGAACGGGCAAACACTGCTCACTGGTGCTTCTCGGGGGCTTTTCTCAGGGGTTAGCCTCAGCAACACAGCTCTCTCCTCTCCTGAGCACTTTCTCTCAGCCGGGCCAACACTGCATGCTTTCGATATGCTTTTTGGATCAATATGAAAAACCTTGCCACAATATTTTAGTTTATAGTTCCCCAATGGAACATACTTTGACTTGTTTAAAGACCACTTATAATTTCAGCAGATTAAATACACTGCTCATAATTTTACACAGTTTTTTAATTGACTTCAGAAATTCTTTATGTGTGTTTGATAGTGATATTACAACAAGGCTTTCTTCTCTCTCTCTCTCTCTCTCTCTCTCTCTCTCTCTCTCTCTCTCTCTCTCTCTTTCTCTTTCTCTTTCTCTCTCTCTCTCTCTGTGTATGCACGTGGGCACCTGCATGCATGTTTTACATTATTTATGTTATATAGAAGCTTTAATTTTTATGGTTTTTGTTTTTATGTTCTGCTTATAAAAACCTTTCTTTATAAAAGCAAGCTTATATTTTTCTTTGTTATTTACTAGCAGGTTCTAAGATTGGTTTATTCACAGGAACTATTTAAGTCTCTTATACTCCTAAAATACCTTCTGCACTCTCCCATTTGGCCTGCGGCTTGATTATCTTGGCTTCCCTCATGGCAGAGAGGAAACTAACCTATTTTTCTTTTTGTCTTAGCAAAGGGTATCCGACACCCCAAGCTGATCCCTTGGGTCTTGGCTGTGGTTTTCATCTCACTTCTCAGCGCTTGCTTTATTGCAAGTTGTTTGGGTAAGCTACTAGACAAGCTGAAGCTCATCTTGAATTATTTTCCCCAAGAATTTCCAACATGTGTTCCCCGAACCTCACTTTTCCTCAGTGTATCCACGTACAACCCATTCGCTGTCTTAGGCTTAACATCAGAGCTGTGCACTTGATTTTCTAATGTATATGAGACTGTTCTGTTTGCTTCCAGGAAAGTACTTTGCTGAGGCAGTATTGACATATAGAAGCTCTATGCATTAAATGTGTCCACCTCAAGACTGGGGACAAATATGTACCCATGACGCCATCAGTACCACTGACCTCACAGGAAGGCCTGTTCTTTCTGATATCAAGCTTTAAGATAAGGTTGTTAGGACTGAATTAATACAGTGTTGGTCTAAGACAAATAGGCTGGAGAAAGAATAGATACTTGCAGTAAAGAATCTGCATATGTAATTCCTTATCTAAAATAAAAGGGGATATGTCAGAGTTATGGGGAAGAGAGAGTTTTGTTAAAACATGATTATATTTAATAAATGAAATTGGGCTCTTGCATCATATCATGTACAAACAACAGCCCATATAGTGAAAATAGAACTCTATAGGACAGAATATTTGTACTGCCTTAATATGTGGAATGCACAGTAATCTGTCAAAACAATTGGAAATGTCAGCAGTATAATAAACAACGGACAAAGTCTTAAGTAGACATTATAGAGAAGAGAAAATGGAAAGATAGGAAATACACACACTGTCAACCTCCTTGGTTGTTAGGGGAAGTAAAACTGCAATCCACAATGAGTCAACACTAGAAAAACACCAGGATGGTAATGACTAAAAGTAGACAGCATCCGATGATGAAGATGTAGAAAGCTGGATCTGTGGTGCTTACTCATAGGAGAGAGCACAGAGTAGTTAACCTGTTTGGAAAGCTTCCCCACACACCTCACTTACCACACATGTAACTACCACCAGCAACAGAAACGCATACTTACTTGATTTAGGATGTAAGATCAAAAATGCTCAGAGTAACACAGTTCACATCAGCCAGACACTGGAAGCAACGGATGTGCTAGCAGTCACTGTGTGATGACAACAGATCACTTCCTAGTTATGAAAATGGATGAACTGTAGCTATGGGCAGCAATATTGTTTCAGAAACAATGCTGAGCATAAGTCAGTACCAAAGGATGCATGCCACCTGAGCCCATTCATAGAGAATCCCAAAGAAGGTCATTCTGATCTGTATGGTTCCAGGCTGAAACTGTGAAGCAAAGCACAGGGTGAAGACTTTAAAAGCCACAAAATTGTTAACTGCAAAGGAAGAGTGGGCTGTGTTTGGGGTATGATGGCTACCTGGGGTGTTGGCCCTGTTCTATTTCTTGAACTTGGCAGTCTTTGCCCAAAGTGTTCATGTTATGCTAATTTACCAACTTGTACATTTATTTTATTTTTTTTACTTTTTAATATTTGATTATATTTCAACTATTTTAAATATAGTAAAAATATTATTAAACTCATGAAGTTCATAAAACGTTGTAGAACTAGCCCAATGTTTGTCAAAATCTCACTCTTTTGCACATTCTGATAGAATAACCTGAAAATGGCATGCACCTGAAAGATTCTGAAACTTCCAATGTAAATCACAACATGGATAAAACGATTATAAAATTTTAGCTTTCTACAGTTGCTTTCAATGAATTTACCTAGGATCATGGAATGATGTAGGAAAGAAAAAGAGTGTATGGGCCTTAATTGTGAGGGAAGGAGAAGGGTGGGGAGATGGGTCCACTCTTCTAAACCGGTGTCTACACAGAGAATAGCTGTTTTTCCTGCCCTACAGTGACTCATCATTACTTCTCACGCTGGATGCAAAGAGCAAGAACGGTGAAGTTCTCAGACTACCACACAAGGCTAACATGTACCCGAGAGGAGCCAGAGCCCGGAGCTGCAGGTAGCAGAGGAACTTCTTATGTGCTTCCACTCAGCTTTTAAAGAGCATCCGTAGTAAATTAGAAAGGGAACACATGGGAACTGGCTACAAGAATGAATATCAGTCAATTGAGACAGAATCACTTCTCATGACCGTAGTCAAACAGTGCCACACATTATCTAGTTTATTTTTGTGCTGCTGGAGATCGAATGCAAGGCCTTATGCATGTTCAGCAATTGCCTCCCATCAACAGATCTTGCTTTTGTTTGTTTGTTTTTTGAGATAGGATCCCACTATGTAGCCCAGGCTGGCCTGGAACTAGATACCTTCTTGCCACTGTCTCCTAAGAGCTTAGATTACAGGTCTGCATCATTACCCTAGATCGGTATTTTTGACATCTGAAACATAACAGGAGCTTCCATTTTTCCTTGATTCAGATATATCATGAGGACAGTTTCTTCTCAGTTTATATAACTTTGCTGAGATGCCTATTTATTTATATTCTAGAATTTATAAAGTTATGGAGAATTAAGAAATGTTTGAGTTTTGCATAGTCTTTGCTTTTTGTCCAAATAAAATATCCTGCAAAAGGCTTTGTTATAGGAATATTTTGCTTAATTTTAAATTAAAAACTCTCTCTCTCTCTCTCTCCCTCTCCCTTCTCAATTCCTTCCTTTCTTTCTTTGCTAAGTATCAAACTCAGAACTTTTCACATTCTAGGAAAGTACTTTACCATTGAGCTACACTCCTAGCTCTGGAAATATTTAAATATATGAAAGAAAACACATGTAAGGACACTGAATAACGTTAATGTCTTCTAAGATAATACTTGTAGTAAGATAAGTATGCACCATCACAAATGAAATGCTCCTTTGTAACTAATGCCTATTTCAATTCTCACCCGAGGAGGTACCTGGAACTGCTGTCCTGTTAGCTGGGTAGCCTTCCAGTCTAACTGTTACTTCCCTCTTAATGACAACCAGACGTGGTCTGAGAGTGAGAAGAACTGCTCCGGGATGGGCAGTCATTTGGTGACCGTCAACACTGAAGCAGAGCAGGTATGTGTTAGCTCAGCTCACACCGATGTGACAAACACAACCAAAAGGAACTCCAAAGAGGAAAGGGTTTGTTTCCACTCACAGCTTACAGCTTACAGTCCATTACAGAGGGAACGCAGGGCAGGCATTCATGCAGGAACTTGATACAGAAACCAAGGAGGAACACTGCTTCCTGGCCCACTCAAAGGCTCATCGGTAACTAGTTTCTTTTGTGCCCAGGACCACCTGCAGGGAATGGTACTCCCCACAGTAGGCTGGGTCCTTCTTATGTCAATTAACAATCCACACAACCCCTCACAGACATACGCACAAGCCAGTCTGATTTGGATATCCCTCCCCTGAGAGTCCCTTCTCCAGTAATTCTAAGCTGTGTGGAGTAGACAGCAAAAGCTACCATGTTGCCTTAAATCTCTTTACAGGGCAGAAATTTCCTGACTCCCTATGTATCTTTCCTTCGTGTTTTTCATCAGCCTGGAAAGCCTTTTCTTCCTCTCCCACTTTTTCCCCACTCCCTTCTTCTCTCATCTCTTTGACTTTCAATTGTGCTTTTCATAATAACAAAGTCCAATATACATCATAGCATAATTTACCCTTCCTCTGATAATAGAAAACACACACCAGAGGATTTATATAGTACAATGCATATCTTTCTTTTTTATTGAATTCTCTCATACAATACAATTCTCTCCCAACCACAATTTCTTCTCCCTCCACTCCTCCTAGGCCACCCGCCACAACAACTTCCTCTTTCCCCCAGATCCATTTCCCCTCCGTTTCCTCCTCAGAAAGGAGCAGGTCTCCAAGAGACAACAGCCAGACAGGACAAAACAATAAGACAATGTGAAAGCCCTCATATTGATGCTGGACAAGGTAACCCAATAGAAACGAAAGAGTCTCAGACACACACTCCCACTCTTAGGAGTATCACAAGAACACCAAGCTAACAGCCATAACATATACACAGACCTGGTGCAGGCCCTTTGCTTGGGTAGAAATGCATGTACTTTATATGTTAGAAAACTAGTCAGTTTTCTGTATGTGGCCAACTTCTGGTCTTTCCAGACTTTAATGATGTGTCATTTCTCTCAGAAACCTGCCCTTTCCTACTCTGCTTTCCCTAGTCTATGGCGTAGGCTCTGCTAAGGCTCTTTGAGCACAGAGGGATGTCAACTTTTACTCCAGTGACTTGCAGCTCTTCCAATGACTCCCACTTGATCAAAGGCTCAGACCAAGCTTTCCTTGCCTTTATTTTTCCAATATCCTGCACAATGCCAGACATACAGTAGGACTCATGAGCATACAGAAGGACATACAGTAGGACACATGACCATATAACTACATGAGTGGCTAATGAGGACTGAAATGGCTTCTTATATATATGGAAGATAATTCTAATGTGTGGTACTAATTCTAAGTAAATACATTTGAAGATAAATTCAGTTTGTAAAGAGCTGAAACTGCTCTCTTCATGTGTTACATTTTTCCGTTCCATTTCCCTGAGATCCTGCTTGCCAAAAACTCAATTGAATACAACCCAACCCTGCCACTGGAAGCCTTACCTGGCTACAAGAGATGGTCAGTTAAGACTCTGTATCTCCCATTACTAGGAGTCCTCATTAGGATCACCTTCATGAATTTCAGGAAGTTTCCACTGCACTAGGTTTCCACACCACCCACAAAATACCCCCCAATTCCAGCTGTTTCTCTCCACCACCACCCCACACACACAACTGATCCCTCCTTCTCCTATCCCCACCCACCCCTAGTCTACTCATAAAATCTATTCTATTTCCCCTTCCTAGGGAGATCCATGAGTACCCCCTGCAGCCCTCTTCTTCAAATACCCTCTCTGGGTCTATGGATTATAGCTTGATTGTCATTTACTTAGTGGCTCATATCCATTTATAAGTGAATACATATCGTATTTGTCTTTCTGGGTCTTGGTTACCTCACTCAGGATAATTTTTTCTAGTTCCATCCACTTGCCTCCAAATTTCATGATGTCATTTTTTTAACAGCTGAGTAACATTCTATTGTATAAATCTACCACATTTTCTTTATCCATTCTGTGGTTGAGGGACATTTAGGCTGTTTCTAGTTTCTGGCTATTATGAATAAAACTGCATCAACATGGTTGAGCAAGTGTCCTTATGGTAGGATTGAGCATCCTTTAGCTATATTCCCAAGAGTGATATAGCTGGTTCCTGAGGTAGATTGATTTCCAATTTTACGAGGAACCATCATGTTGATTTCCAGTACAAGTTTTTACTCCCACTGGCAATGGAGGAGTGTTCTCCTTGCTACACATCCTTGCTAGCATGAGCTCTCACTTGTTTTTTTTGTTTTGTTTTGTTTTTTTTATCTTGACCATTCTGGCAGGTGTAAGATTGGATCTCAATGTAGTTTTGATTTGCATTTCCCTGATAGCTAAGTATGTTGTATATTTCTTTGTTTCTCAGCCATTTGAGATTCCTCTTCTGAGAATTCTGTTTAGATCTGTATCCTATTTTTAAGATTTACTTATTTTTTGATATCTAGTTTCTTGAGTTCATTGCATAGTTTGGATATTAGTCCTCTATAGACACACACACACAAAAAAAAAAAAACTTTTTCCATCCTGTAGGCCATTTGTCTGACAAATGATCCTTCTTTGCTTTACAGAAGCTTTTCAGTTTCATGAGGTCCCCTTTATTAATTGTTGATCTTAGTTCCTGAACTACCAGTATTCTGTTCAGAAAGTCATTTCCTGTGCCAATGCATTCAAGGCTATTCCTCACTTTCTCTTCTATCAGGTTAAGTGTGTCTTTGATCCACCTTAAGTGAGTTCTTTGATCCACCTTGACTTGAATTTTGTGTAGAGTGATAGATATGGATCTATTTGCATTCTTTTACATGCAGACATCCAGTAAGACCAGCACCATTTGTTGAAGAAGCTGTCTTTTTTCCAGTATGTATTTCTGACTTCTTTATCAAAAATCAGGTGTCCATATGTGCTTGGATTTATGTCTCAGTCTTTTCGATTCCATTGATCAGTTTGTTTCCATTGATCAACCTGTCTGTTTTTATGCCAATACCATGCTGTTTTTATTACTATAGCTCTGTAGTACACCTTGAAATTAAGGAGGTGAGACATCCAGCAGTTCTGTTAGCTATCCTCTGTTTTTTGTTTTTCCATAAGAAGTTGAGAATTGTTCTTTCAAAGCCTGTAAAGAATTGTGTTGGAATTTTGATGGAGAGTGCACTGAATCTGTAGATTGCTTTTGGCAAGATGGTCATTTTTACTGTTAATCCTACTGATCCAAGAGCAAGGAGATTTTTTTATCTTCTGACATGTTCTTTAATTTCTTTCTTCAAAAACTTGAAATTTTTATCATACGAGTCTTTCACTTGCTTGGTGAGAGTTACCCCAATATATTTTATATTATTTGAAAGGTATTGTGAAAGGTGTTGTTTCCCTGATTTCTTTCTCAATCTGTTTGTCATTTGTGCCAGAAGACTCGGGGTTTGCCGAGTGAGCTGCCTCTACTGCTTTAAGCAGATTTGGGGACAGACTTATGTGATACCATGTTGTTTACACCTAACCCGTGATCACACTGACCTCTTCCCTCCTTATCAATCTAATGAACATCACATCACCCAAGAGCACTTACAAAAGAATGTATATTTTGTATGCAGAACTTTCTGACTGGGCTTTTGGATAAGCAATTTCCCTATTTCCTGGGACTTACTGATGAGAACGCGGAAGGTCTGTGGCAGTGGGTGGACCAAACGCCATTTAACTCACACATGGAGTAAGTATTGTGGTTGGGGCTAAGGGCATTTATAAGCAAAGATGAGAAGATGTGGCAAGGAGAACACATTCTAAAGTAGGATACACCAATGTAAGCGCTTATTCAACAGAGTGCCAACAGTTCAATCTCTATAATGCTAGGCTCCCATTGCACAATAATCCTATAACTTCAGCGAAATGTTCAGTGTCTTTGATTGTACAATGTTAATGAAAGAACAGATAACAGAGTAATGTGAAAAGGTGTTTAAGGTTATCAATTTGATAAACAATATTATCTATAAGAGCTAAAATTATTTTTGAAAGAATTTTAACCTGGTTATTTTCCTTCTTGAAACCAACATTGTATAATACAAGTAAGATAGAAAACCACACGTATAACCTAAGTTTTGCTAGCAGTAATGTTAAGGAAATACGAAGATGTTAGACATGGTGGCACACACAAATAATTCCTGTATTCATGAGATGGAATCAGCAGGGTTGACAGTTTGAGGCATCCCTGGGTTTCATGGGGAGTTCTAGGGAGGCCATAGCTACATAGGGAGACCATGTTTCAAACAGAAAAACAAAATAAATCGACATAAAGAGAGACAGAGACAAAAAGAGAGAAACAGAGAGCGAGAGAGACAGAGACAGAAAGAGTTCTAGGAAGGCCATAGGTCTCTGTTTGAGACCATGTTTCAAATAGAAAAACAACAAATCAACACACACCAAAAGAGCAAAAGAGGAAAAACTGGTAAATGTATGATAATACACACACACACACACACACACACACACACACACACACACACACACACACTATAGATAGATAGATAGATAGATAGATAGATAGATAGATAGATTTTTTTTTTCCCTCGAGACAAGATTTCTCTGTGTAACAGTCCTGGCTTGTCCTGGAACTCACTCTGTAGAACAGACTGACCTCAAACTCACAGATCTACCTGCTTCAGCCTCCCAAGTGCTTGGATTAAAGGCATGCGTCACCACCACCAGTTATCAATTATTAATAATGTATTTAACATAGTACAGCCATATGCACTTAGCACTTAAAGGACATCTCAGTATAGAGAAACCACATTTCTTTCTTCCTCTTTCAAAATGAGTTCTTTTCCCTGAGAATTTCATACAAGGTGTTGTATTCATATTCCCTCCTCTGTCCCCACTCAACTTCATGTTTTCTTCTATTTTTCACCCATTTTGTGTTGTCTGCATATTCTTGGATGTATGGTGGAAGGTCAGTCATGGACTATAATCTTAAAATTGACCCTCCCCCTCCCAGCAGTTATCAATTCCCAAGACCAGTGATGGGATTTTGTGCCTACCTCCACTCTCCGTGCTGGGGTCTGATACACCTTGCACTTGCACAAGGCTTGTGCATGCTGCCACAATCACTGTGTGCTGTGCACAGTTCTCATGTGCAACGGCCATGCTGTGTCTGGAGGACACTGTTTCCTTGTAGCCACCCATTTCCTCAGGCTCTGACACTTCATCCACCAAGATCCCTGAACCCCGGGAGGAGGGGATGTGGTACAGATGTCCCGTTTAGAGCTGAGCATTCTTTATTATTTTCACCTTGGCCAGCTGTGAGTCTCTGTTAATCTTCATCTACTGTAAACAGAAGCTTCTCTGATGGAGATAGAGAGATGCGTGAATCTATGGGTATAATGATAAGTCATTAGGAGTTGGTTTAGTTCTATGTCCACTTAGCAGACTAATAGTGTAGGCTCTCCCTTAGGACCTATACCACAAGTTCTTGGGCTGACCGTGGTGTCAAACATGGGCTTCATCTTGTGGTACAGGGCTTAAATCCAATAAGAAAGTAGGTTGCTCCTATAATGTTCGTGTGACTACCGCACCAGTGGTTATGACTTGCCAGACAGTCATGGTAGCTTGCCAGGTTCACAGTTGGGTAAGACTGATTACGTTTTTTTCCCTGGTATCATTCGCAGCACCTTCCAGCACCATAAAAGCTAGTCTATAAGGATGAAGCTTGCAGATAACATCAGCTTTATTTCTGTGACTCAAATCTGTCTCGTCTTTAGCAATAGGGTCACACTGTCAAGTTCTGGAGGGTAACCACCAGCATTGGTAATAAGCTGCGGCATTTAGGGGTCTATTGGACCTCACTGGCTCACAGATCCAAAGGAGGTAAACCATTCCCAGCACTAGGCTTTTTATTTGTTAGCCTGAGGTGTCCAACGGGGGTAACTTATGGGGTAACTTCATTTTAAATCTACCTGTCTGAGCTATTTCACTCAGAATGATTGTTTCCAGCTCCATCCTGTAAATTTCATAATTTAATTTTTGTTAACAGCTGAATAATATTTCACTGTGTAAAATATACCAGATTTTCATTTTCTGTTCCTTAAGCTATTTCTATTTTCTGACTATTATGAATAGAGCAGCAATGAACATGGATTAGCAGGTATCTAGATCTAAGGAGGATACAGAGTCATTTGGGTATATGCTCAAGAATGGTATAGCTGGATCATATACTAGATATATTTCTAACCTTTTGAGGAAACTTCACATGGACTTCTGCAGTGGCTGTACCAGTTTGCACTCCCACTAGCAATGAGGAGTGATCTCCTTTCTCCACACCTATGCCAACATTTGCCTTGGTCTGTTTATTTGGATCTTAGGAATTCTGACTGGGGTAAGATAAAATCTCAGAGCAGTTTTAATCTGCATTGCCCTGATGGCAAACAATGTTGGGCATTTTAAAGGTATTCCTCTGCCATTCGTATTCTGTCTTTTGAGAGCACTCTGCTTAGTTCACCAAACCCCATTTGTTTTTCTGGTGCTTACCTTTTTCCCTTTCAGTTCTTTGTATAGTCTGGACACTAAGCCTCTGTCAGGTGTATAGCTGACAGATATCCTCTCCTCTCCATCGGCTGCCTCTCCCCTTGAGTGATGGTGTCCTTTGGTGTGCAGAGCCTATCTACTTCCGTGAAGTTCCATTTATTAGTTATTGGTCTTAATCCCTTTCCCAGTGGGGTCTTGCTCAGAAAGTCCTTTCCTGTGCCCATGACTTTGAGAGCATCCCTACTTTCTCCTCTATCAGATTCAGGGCATCAGGTTTTATCTGAGGTCCTCGATTCCTCTGGAGTTGAGTCTTGTGGGGTGGGAAGTAAAGATTCAGTTTCACCGTATTGCTGTTAGCTGTCCATTTCTGCCAGCACCATTTGTCGAAGATGCTCTGTTCTCCCGTCTTCTTTGCTGGCTTCACTGTAAAATATCAGGTAGATACAGCAGTGCAGACTTACTTATGGCTCCCCAGTTCTAGTCCATTGATCTGGGAGCCTGTTTTTATGCAGTGCCGTGCTGGAGTTTTTGTTTGTTTGTTTGGATGGTTGGTTGGTTTTGTTTGTTTTTTTGAGACAGAGTTTCCTATGTAGCCCTGGCTGTCCTGGATCTCACTCTGTAAACCAGGCTGGCCTCGTACTCAGAGATCCGCCTGCCTCTGCCTCTGGAGTGCTGGGATTAAAGGTGTGCGCCACCGCTGCCAGAGTTGGAAGTCACATTTCAAATGCTCAATAGCTACATGTAGCTGGTGGCTCTTGTAGTGCAGGTTGCAGCTCTGAGGAGTCACTCACTCTACTGTTCGCTCTACTTCTCCAGATTGTCCTTGGTATAATCTCTAGCTCACTGTTCTCCTTCTCTTTCAGATTCTGGCATAAGGGTGAACCCAATAACTTTATGGAAGAAGATTGTGTTGTCCTTATTAATGTCCAAGATAAATGGGCCTGGAATGACTTTCCTTGTCATTTTAGGGCCAGTAGGATTTGCAAGTTACCTGGAGCAACATTCGGTTGGAAGCCCACAAAGCAGTTGTTATGATGGAGATGGCAAAGATGAACCTGTCAGACCGGGGAAAGTGTCTATGCACCATAGACATAGAGAACACACTGGATCAGAGGGCACTGTCAACCATGAGGATGTTCTTAATTATTTTTGCTTAAATTTAATTGAACACACATAGTGTGGCTTGTGCTCTCTGTCTCCCTGTCTCTGCCTCATTATCTGTGTGTGCGTGTGTGCGTGTGTGCGTGTGTGCGTGTGTGTGTGTGTGTGTGTGTGTGTGTGTGTGTGTGTGTGTGCACGCTCTGTGTGGTGTTTTGTTAGAATGAGCATTATCCTATGGGAATCAGTCTTTATCTTTGCTTCCTTGACAGTATTTTAAGATATTTACTTTTCAGTCGGTATGCATTAGTTATGTATCTAATGGAAGGATTAAGTAATACAATCTTTTTGCCATTTTTTCTTGCTCAAATTATTACCTCTTAAAATTCAAACTTGCAGTATACACATTAGTAGTGATAAATCTTTTGTTTGTTTGTTTTTTAAATTCTTCTCTCATACATCCTGACCACAGTTTCCCCTCCTTCCATTTCTCCCAGTACCCCTTTAACTCCCATCTCCCTCAGATCCTCCGTTTCCCTTTTGAGAAGAGCAGGCCTCCCGAAGATATCAACCGAACACAGCACAACAAGATTCCTAACTAGACACAAACCCCCACATCAGGGAGGGCCAGACAAGGCAGCCCAGTAGGAGAAAGGATCCTATTCAAACCCAAATCTCAGTTTAAAATGTTAACATTTCTACTGTTTGATCTTTTACTTCCACATTTAAGTAGTTACTAACAATCTCCAGGAAAAACAGTGTAAAATAGATCTCGGTGATTTATTATACAGGTAGAGAAGAAGGATATAAACCTTCTAGCAAGTTTTCTTCTTTCTTCATTCCAGCTGTCAGGCCAAACCACGTAGTTTCATGCTGACTTAATTTCATTTAAATGAGCTCTTTCAACTCCCTTATAGCTGAGGAAACAAAATTCTTGAAACGCTAAAGAGCTCCCTTTTTCATTGTTTGTTCATGGCAGTCTGGACTACGACTCATCTGCCTTTTCCTGGAGATGAACCATGTCTCCTATGTACTTACAGGAAAGTTTAGGGAGATACACTGACCTTTTCGCTTAGCTAAGGACTCAATTTTCTTCATTATTTGAAGTTCATTCCTTTGGTGTTTTCATTTTGAATCATGAAGATATTTCTTTTAATTCATTTATATAAACTGTCTAATATTCAAGAGCTGTACTATTGGCAAGAAAGTCACCAAATTGACAACCTACAATTGCGATGTTTGTGCTGTTAGTGGTTCAGTCACAACTGACCATCATAAGAAAGCCTAAAGAGGGCTGGGGAGATGGATCAGTGTTAAGAATGCTTGCTCTTCCACCAGACCTGAATCCAGTTCTCAGTATCCACATCAGGTGGCTCACAGTGGCCTGTAGCATCAACTCCAGGGTATCTGACTCTTTCTCCTGGCTATACAACACAACTTCTGCACACACACACACGCACACACACACACACACACACTTTTTATTTTATAATTTAATTTAATTTTACATATCACCCACGGATTCCCTTGTTCTCCCCCCTTCTGCCTCCCCCCCCCCCCCGCATTACCCCCAGCCCACCCCCCATTCCCATCTCCTCCATGGCAAAGACTCCCCTGAGGATTGAGTTCAACCTGGTAGACTCAGTCCAGGCAGGTCCAGTCCTCTCCTCCCAGGCTGAGCCAAGTGTCCCTGTATAAGCCCCAGGTTCCAGACAGTCAGCACATGCACTGAGGACAGGTCCCGGTCCCACTGCCTGGATGCCTCCCAAACAGATCAAGCTAACACACATTTTTTAAAAGAAAAATACTGTTCTAGTCTTGTTTGAAATTTTATTTGCTAGTGTTTCCTGAATCTGAGCTGAGAATTTTCAACCAACAATTTTTTTTCAATTTTTTTATTATTAAGAAAATTTTTTCATTCATTTTATACACCAATCAAAGATCTCCCTCTTCCCTCCTCCCACCCACCAGTCTCCCCCTCTCAACTCACCTCCCACTCCCACCCACAAGAAGGCAAGGCCTCCCATGGGGAGGCACATTCAGTAGAGGCAAGTCCAAACCCTTCCCCCTGCCTCAAGGCTGCATGAGGTGTCCCATCATAGGTAGTGGGCTCCACAAAGCCCGCTCATGCACCAGATGAATTCTGATCCTACTGCCTGAGGCCCTCCCAAGCAGATCAAGCTTCACAACTGTCTTGCCATGCAGAGGGCCTAGTCCAGTCCCATGTAGGATCCACAGCAATTGATCCAATTTCATGAGTTCCCTCTGGTTTGGTTTGGTCCTCCCCTGCATGTTTCCTCATCATGATCCTGATGCACTTGCTCATAGAATCCCTCTTCTCTCTCTTTGACTAGACTCCTGGAGCTAGTGACTGGCTAGAATCTCTGCATCTGCTTCCATCAGTCATTGGAGAAAAGTTCTGTGATGACAGTTAGGATATTCACCAGTCTGATCTCTGGGGCAAGCCAGTTCAGTTCAGGCACCCTCTCCACTATTGCTAGTAGCCCACGCTGGTGTCATCTTTGGTGATTCCTGGCAACTTCCCTAACACCGGGTTTCTCTCTATCCCCATCAACCAACAACTTTTTAACCTGTCTTCTCTCTCCTTCACCATTTTTAAAAGCAATAGCTACTTTGCAAGTTTGTTCATTATTTTCTGGGTTAAATGTAGAATATTGATGTTTGGTTAAGTGTGGCAGTGGAGTGTTGTGTTCTCTGTGTGTCCATGTTGAAGTTGGTACTTTTGGATGAAGGGGGACTAAGTCACTTCACATGTGTTAGGCACATTAATTAAGTCATATAGCACAAGACAAGTTGAAAGAAACTTATGTACTAATGGGCTTTGTAGAGTTAATTTTATCCATTTTAATGTACAAATCATGAGCCTGTCTATGTAGAAATCCAGTTGTCAATAAAGTGTGACTCCTCTGTGATCTCCTTCACTGTTCTGCACCTCTGTCTATGGTCTGTTTCCTGCTGCCAAGAATGTTCAATCCCCAGCACCTATGCCAGCCTCAGGCCCCCAGCCCTCCTCCCCGGATGAAGGCAGCAGCCTCTGGCTAGGTCCATTCCCGCATTTCATATCTAGGAAATCAATTCATATGTGTGTTAAAATGCAAGTCTCTCTTCCTTCAAGAGGTATCATACTTTAGCACCTCTTTAGAGTAATTTAGAGTAATTACAATCATAATTATATAATTATGTATATATAATTACTTCCATGTAGGGACACATTATTTGAATTCTGAATTAGTGTATCTAACAGAGTATAGATTACAAGGGAAAGACATAACCATATATTTAGTTTCACAAGACACAAGTTTCTGCAGAGATAAAGAAATAAGAATCTATGTTATGTATACACAATGGAATACTACTCAGCAGAGAAAAACAATGACATCATGAGGTTTGCAGGCAAATGGATGGATCTAGGAAAAATCATCCTGAGTGAGGTAACCCAGACTCAGAAAGACAAACATGGTATGTACTCACTCATAGCAGGATACTAGACATGAAACAAGGATGACTTGTCTGCTACTCACAACTCCAGGGAGGCTACCTGGAAAACAGGACCCCAAGAAAGACACAGGGATCGCCCAATGACAGAGAAATGGATGAGATCTACATGAACAGCCTGGACATGAGTGGGGGTAATGAAGGGCGAGGGACAAGGGAAAGAGAGCTTGGGGGAGCGGGAGATCCCACCTGGATCAACAACAGAGAGGGAGAACAAGGAATAGGAGACCATGGTAAATGAAGACCATATGAGAATAGGAAGAAGCAAAGTGCTAGAGAGGTCCACAGAAATCCACAAAGATGTCCCCACAATAGACTGCTGGCAATGGTCGAGAGACAGCACGAACTGACCTACTCTGGTGATAGGATGGCCAAACACCCTAATTGTCGTGCTAGAAACCCCATCCAATGACTGAGGGAACCGGATGCAGAGATCCACAGCCATGCCCCAGGTGGAGCTCCGGGAGTCCAATTGGTGAGAAAGAGGAGGGTTTATATGAGCAAGAATTGTTGAGACCAAGGTTGGATAAAGCACAGGAACAAATAGTCAAACAAATGGAAACACATGAACTATGAACCAATGGCTGAGGGGCCCCCAACTGGATCAGGCCCTCTGAATAGGTGAGACAGTTGATTGGCTTGATCTGTTTGGGAGGCATCCAGGCAGTGGGACCAGGTCCTGTGCTCAGTGCATGAGTTGGCTGTTTGAAACCTGGGGCTTATGCAGGGATGCTTGGCTCAGCCTGGGAGGAGGGGACTGGACCTGTCTGGACTGAGTCTACCAGGTTGAACTCAATCCTCGGGGGAGTCTTTGCCCTGGAGGAGATGGGAACGGGGGGTGGGCTGGGGGGAAGGTGAGGGGGGGCGGGAGGGGGGGAGAACAAGGGAATCCGTGGTTGATGTGTAGAATTAAATTATATTGTAAAATAAAATTTAAAAAAAAAAGAATCTGTTATGCTAAGTCTGAAAAAGAGGTGGATAATCCTGGGGTGGGGGGTTGGAATGTGTGATTTAAGAAATAAAAGCACAATCTACTGCTAATAAAGTGGGTGAAACTTATGAGGCTTATGCAGAGTCTTCTTATAGTGGTAGAACCTTGTAACCTGAGGGTCCTGAGAGGAGAAGGATGAGGGCGCTCAGCATTATGACTTCCTTTTAGGAAGAAAGGCAGGGGGCAGGCAGGCATGACCATCCTGATTTTGCTACTTTCTAATTTTCCAAGGTACCATATTGTGGAGTAGCACTTCCTGCACCAATCAGAATTCACCCATGGTTTTCTGGAATGATGTTTAATGTTCATGCTAAGTATTTCTCTAACTGGAAGACTTTTTCATCTGTACATCTTTGAGCTCCATAGAAAATTTTCATAATGAACATGTATATTTTTTACTAAAAATAGTAAAGTGACTACTCTTTTAAAATATTAGGTCCATAAATGGTGTATTTGAATTGTAATGGTGGCTTACTGGGTGAGTATGTC